TTGCCATGAATAGCTTGGATTTCTCTAAATAAGGCATCTATCTAGAGGTTAGGAGGGAAACTAGCAGTAATATGGAGTAATATAGGAGTGTAATATGACAAATGATGTTTCTGGATAAAAGATGGCACTGCATTTATACATGAACTCTGAGAGAAGGGTATTTCAGCTTGTAACTCATGTCATATTTCACTGCCGCCACATTGGGCAAGTTGTCTATTAGTTGTGGCATAAAGAACTCATAAGATATTTATAAGGGATCCAGAGATACCTAAATAGGAAATCATTTGATTTCAGAGATAGGCACCAAAGAGAGCAGTTTAAAGCCCTGACAGAATGTGCAGCCTTCTGCTTTCACGATTTGTAATTGCTGGAGCAAAGCAGGGATGTATATGTTAATGAGATCTGCTCCAGAAATGTTTTTTCCCTCCAGACAATTATGATTTTCTTAGGCAGATTGAATAACGTCACACCAGGACCTGAGAAACACTCCTAGTAAAAAAACTCCAATAAGTAAGTTAAATGTGCCCACATTGTTGCAGCGATGTGTAAGACCCTGCTTGAAATGTCTCCTGCTATATCTCCCAAGTTCTTTGGAGTCCCCAGGCTCGGGGAAGGAAAGAAGGTGTCTCCTTCTAGGCAACTTGTCAGTGACATGCTGAGCTGGATACACCCATCCTGAAAAGGATCACAGGTAACAGAGCAACAACCCCTGAAACTTGTCTGGATCAACTCTTCAAACCAAAACCAAATCACTGTCGTTCAAACCAGTTGGGTTTTTCAGAACCTTTCTCTATTTCAAAGTTTTGTGCAAGAGAACAGCAACCTTTCTGGTTATCAGGAGCCCTGCTCTCTTCAAAAACAAAATCCTGGCAGAAATAGTCTGACCAGCAATAATATTTTCTGCATGTGTCCCTCCTGAAAAGATTGGGGTGGGGCAGGGGGATGTCACTACAAAGTGATGAGTTCAATTTTTTGGCATTTCTAAGAAACTAAATATCCATTCTGAAAGACCCTAGGCAGGCACTCTGCTATAAGACAGGCAGTGCCAATGAGATATGGCGGAAGAGAAATGACTCACAAGCCCATAGTTTTTCTGTCTTCAAGAAAGCATTTTACTGAGATGTCCAAGTTGGGAATCCACTTGCCTTGTGTTGACACATGGAGAACAGGAGGTAGCCCTCAGTTTTCAAGAGACAACAGCTCTTCTGCACAAAGTTCCCTTATTTCTTAATGTTTCCAAAAAGGGGCTGTTTTGTAGTTTTCTCCCAGAAAAAAGTCACAAAGCAAATACTTTAGAATAAAAAACCCTTACAAGAACTGAGCCCTGAACTGCTATTACACTATGCAGCTCCCATGCTTTGATGAGCTGTGGTATGACAGTCAATGCAGCACGATATGCACCAATGTCTGCATCCTCAAGGGTAGAATCAAATCCTTTAAGGCTCTCACAGTGGGGAAGCAAACCTTGCACCTCTGCTATATCACCTCTCCCATTGCTCCCCTTCTAACTTCTACTCTCAGTCCTGGTATTAACCCTCTCCACTCCTCTTTGAGTCTGTTAGCAACTTTAGAAGTATTTGCTTTTTTTCAGTAACTGCTGGGGAAAAAAATCTTACTAGTGGGACACACTTGTGCTGTGTGATTCAGGTGCTGTTTTTCTCATTTGGACATATAAGCAAACTTTCATGTAGTAAGCCATCTGGCATGGCTCACTCCCTTATTCTGCTGTCTTTAAATACCTTTATTCCATTCCTGATGTCTTAACACATGACACTGGGTCTCTAAAGAACCTCTGTATTAGCCAAGCCCAGGAGGCCCTCATGCATCTGGCCACAATGATACCACATGTGAACCAGAGGAGCACAGCACAGCAGTCACCTTTTTTGCTGGTCTTGTGCTGCCAAATGCATCTCTCCTCTCCTACCCATCTTTCTGCATGACCAGCTGCATCTGCAGAATTTGGACCTTCCTGGAGTGGAAGTTACTCCTCATGCTGAGATCCCTTGTGCTGAGTGCAGCAGGTTGATCATTTGGATCTGGTTCATGGAAAAGTGTGAAAATCACAGTGCTGTACAGGGTTGGCCAAGTAGCACAGCAATGAAGGTGTATACTGGGCTCAAAGCAAAGTCTTCTAGCAATGCACGTGGTTTCAGCTAACCAGGTTCTTACCCAAACATACCTTGTTTTCTCTTCCCTTGCTCTGTTCTCCTAGTGGAGAAGAAACCTTGACGGAGAGGAAGATGCATGAGTGGCATGTACTTTGTGAATGTCTTCCTCTTCTGAGCACTTTGTACATGTAGATCAGGATAATTGTCCATACACCTCTCTGTTTATTAGGGCAGTAACATCCCAAAGGGTTAAGTGAGGCTGGGAATCCACGATGCCAGATACAGTACACCCACTTAAGAAGTGACATGCATGACTTCAGAAGGCTGCAGTCCAGAGAAATAGGTCAGAAAGAAGAAGGAGCCCCAGAAAATGATCACAACATGGTACCAAGATTTGCAAACACTGTCTCCTTTCTCCTAAGATCTGAGAAAGGCAAGGAAGTTCTACAGCTGGTTTTTTAAACACAAATGTTCTCTATGAAAAGCTGATCAAGCTCCTACAGTACTACTTTGAAGAGACTGAGGGTTCTATATTGAAAAGGCACTTTAAAAATCCCACCAAGAAAAGTATTTTTGGTATAAAACATTTTTCTTTATCCTGCTTATTTTATAGTCTTTTTTTAGCTTGTTCTCCAACAGCTGGCTAAGGAAGGAAGGTCTTGTTGATTTGGATTGAGAAGAGGGGGACTTTTTTTTGCTGCCTAAATGTCAGGCCAGATGCGTCAATCACACCATTAGGCAATTCTGTGTGCTGTAGTCACTTGTATTACTACTGCACGAGAGAAACTGGGGCAAAAAGACAGCAACTAGGGATTTTGTTTTGATTAAGAAAATTATACTTCCCACAGTCAATTCTGAAGTGCTGTAGAAGGATGCAATTTGAGCTAACACTCTCAGATGCCTCAGAAAGAAAACTTTTTGTCTCCCTGTGGAGGCATTACTGGCACACACTGGGAAAAACACTTCTCTCTTCCATAGTCTGCCCCATTACTTTACAGTGAGCAATTAAGGAAGCACGGGAACCCAGAAGAAAACATTGTATTTGGATGTAATGAAGTGTTTCACTCCATCAGAAAAATATCTTTTATTTCAGAGACGTGGGATTCCTTGCAGCTTGAAACCCAAAGGCTGCTGATTCTGAGTTCACTCAGAGACAGAAATGTTATGTGTTTGAACCAGTGTGAGAGACTGTATTCAAATCTCACTGGATTATTCACTGGGTCAGAACAAACTGTGTATGTGGGGGGAAGGGGCATGAGAGCAACAATTCTCTACTGTTTAGTAATTTTCTATGAGCCTTTACAATGTAAGTTTCTGTTAAAGTAGTTACGGACTAGCAAATTACTGAATGCTTTAGTTAAAGCAGTGGTAACTTGAGTATCCAGGTTTTGGCTAAGAGATGCTGAACAAAGGTGCTTTATAACCATCCTTAAATACGCTGCTCAACGGACAAGTTCAAGTCAAGTTCAAGCTCCAAACAGCCATCAGAGACCACCCAGGGACCACCAGAAGATCCCTAGTGACCAAATAATGACTTCCAAAGAACTTCTTAGAACTAATTAACACATGTATGAATCATAAGAGAAGTAGTGAATATGTAAGATATTTACTGAGTATGTAAAATTATAAGTAAATATTAGATATGCTGAGCCAGGAAGGGACACACACATGATAAGAGTGCTCGAGCAATCCTCCTGTGTGTCCAATGCTGATAGTAAAAGAATGCCTGACCACTAACACTCACAAATTAGGGCTTTTTTATTGCCAATTGACGGTAACAGGCCAGGCTGAAGCCCATATGGCAGGGCCGTGGCAGCCCCAGAAGGCAAGCTGCACAACAGATCTGTCAATCAAAGGCCTGCCTGGTAGCCCACCCATGCCATGCCCCCTTGAGTCTGATTGCCTGCACCACCCCTCACTCTGGCCTGGAGGGTGACCAGTGAACCAGACCCTGGGAGGGGTGGCCACAGTGGTCAGACTAAATAAATACAAGGGCACAGAGTTCTCTTTCTTTCTCTCTTCCTCTTTCTCTCTCTTCTTTGGCTATCATCATCTTTGGCTATCAGTAACTATTTTTCTCTTATTCTAATCTCTTTCCTTATTTCTTCTCTTTTCTTCTCTCTTTACTCCTCTTTCTTCCCTTAATCTCTTTTCTTTCTTTCCTTTTTCCTTAATCTTGTTTGAGTAACTTAACACTGACAGGTTGTACTTTACTAAGCTGGTGTGTATATTGGGAGGAATCCTATCTCCTGGTTGTAGTTGCCTCATGAACCTTTTGCCAAAATGCCTATTTTCTCATCAAATTAAAAGAAATCCCTTGGGAAATCATATATAACACTTTCGCTTTATGTGATCTTGAGGTATTAAAGGCTTTGCAAAAATTCAGTGGTGAACTATTTTTGAGCCTTAAATATAAGTAATACTCCCAGCAAAGCTTGAGGCTTCAGGACTTGGATCTTACAGCCAGTATGTAAAATATTCTGCTCTTCTGCTCTATGCCCAGTTCAAGGTAGGTGAAGGGAAGAGAAGATGCTGGCCTGCTGAGTAAGACAAGCTCCACGTAGGTGGACAGATGCTCCCAGCCCTGACCTTACACAGTATTTAAGCACATGAGTCTTCTTCAGCTTCTGACCAGTCCATTCAGAGGCAGGAGGCAAATGCTGATCTCCATTAGGGCCAGTGGGAATTTTGCCATTGGTATCCACAGAGTTGGGACTTTACCCAACAAATATAGATGATCACTGTCTGGTCGGAGAAGAAAGTGGTAGAACAGACCCCATGCAGACTAGCTTACAAAGCAGCTGATCTCCTGCAAATCAGCTCCTGGAGGCTTAATCTCAGATATGCCCTCCTCCTCCCAGCCTTCCCCACATATCCCAAATGACATCTGACCTCTAGCTCCTGGAAATCCTCCTCTTCCTCAACATCATAGGAGAGGGTGTGAATCTTGATGTCATCTGCTGACAGATCGATGAACTTGCTGTCTGGGTACTCCAGGCTGTCTTTGGTGGGAGAGTGGTCCTCGATGAAGGTAGTTTCACAGCACTCCGAGCCAATGCTCTCGCCCCATGAGCGCAGCACATTCTCAGAGTAAAGGATGATGTTGGGCCGGTAGTGAGACTCCACTGTCTGCTGCAGCATGTTGGGGTCCAGGAGCTGATGCACAGGGTCATTCCTGCCCTTCTCCAGGTAGCTTGGAGAGGACAGGCTTCCTGCTAGGTGATTCCGTTTCTGTGGGGTTGGGTACACAGAGACCAGACCATCTCCACTCTCTGCCATTAAGTTCCTTGTATTAATTAAACCATTCCTTTTACCAGCTTCAGTCATCTTATTGTGCATTAGGACACTTTTCTGATCAACCAAGCCATCCATACTAGGAGGTATCTGAGGCAGTGGGACAGGTGGCCTTTATTTTGTTGTACCTTAGAGACAGTTCACACTGGGGCGGTGGCTCCCATTTTCCTGATGAAGAAAGGAAACCAACACCAAGGTGAGGACAAAGGTAATGCATAACATATCACAGCACTTGAATCAGCTTATCTCCCATATCATCTCAACAGGAAATAGTACCCCATATACATACACATTCTTTCAATATATGCCCACTTGGAGAGTTATAAGAAATGGCAAAAATGAGCAAAAAAAACCCGCCAAAAAATAAACCCACAAACCCAAACAAACAACAAAAAACACCCTAAAATAAAAGAACTGGTTTCCATTCTCAGAAATCTGCAATTGCAAAGGGTAGGCAGTTGGTGTGTTCAGCTGTCAGTGTCTGCAGCCACCCTTCGCCCTTGGCAAGTGCTTTACTACCCTTTGGAAACCCATCCAAAGAAAAATAAGTAGGAAGTGTTCTTAAAATCAACCCAAAAAAGCACCCAGGGAAGGTAAGTTCAGATCTTACCCAGAGGAACTAAAAAAACCCCAAAACTCCTCTAGACAGGGTCTGAAATCCCCCGAGTTGCTCTGGGTGGCCTACTTCTTCCAATTCCTCCAAGGCTGTTCAGAGCAACAGGCTGAAGGGCTGAGATGGGGCTTGTCAGTGTGACCATCCCCATACAGATACACCTGGAAAGCCTGGATGCACAGTCACTTGAGCCCCAGGAGCTGGTTGTCTCCTTTTGCACAGGAATGAAAGCTCTCCTCTGTCTCACCTGAATGAACACCAGTTAGGCTATGTATTGTGTGGACTGCACTAAGGCATGAGAAATCAGAGGAATAGTTCAGAAGGCTAGAAAATACCTTTTTTCCAGGCCAAACCCTTTCTCACCAGGATGCTAGTTTTTGCTAGTTTTCCTCAGAGGTAGCCAAAGGAAAATGCTTTTTGAAATATGGATGTATCTGCCACAGCAACAGTAAATTCAGGGGTTTGTTTCTGTGCCTGACCACAGAAATGACAGAAATGTTCCTGGCTTCAAAGAGCTTCATACTAGATCCTCTAAGGCCAAATTATTAACGTAGGATTACCTATCCCCAGTGTGCTGTCTGGAGGAAACCAAGAATGACACATACAAACACACATACATATGTATTATTTTTACTTGATGCATTCTTTCTATTTCCCTTTCATACCAGACAGCCTCCAACAGAGCAATGTCCAGGAAAAGCTTAATTTTATTTTCTCTAAATAACTCCAGACTTCAAATACCGGCAATCTCCCTTTTGAATGCAAGAGATATCTAAACCATTCAAAGAGCTAGTCTTCTGTTCTAACACTACCAATGAAGCAAAAAAGACATTTAACATACAAGAGAGCTCACATGTTTACATTCACAGCACTTGGTTTAACATGCAGAAAACCCATTTGATTGTGTTGGGAAACAGTTCAGTGCTTCTCCTAAGTGAAATGACAGGAAAGCTACACAACAGAAAATACACAGGTCTCAGCCTCAAACCTGGGGAACCTGTGAGCAAAAATTAAACCAATTTGCAGATGAGCTTCAAAGCTTGGTTTCACCAAAGGGTTAGTCCAAAAGCCATTTGCACCAGATAAAATTGAGAGTGAATGCCATGCCTTTCCAAGAAAAACTCATTTCCATATGCAACCATGCTTGTGCTGAATGTGCCCTCTTCCTATTCCCAGTGGGGTAGCATCAGGCCATGTCAGCACAGAGGTACTGGTGTGAGGTGGAGCTGCTTTTGGAAGAAGCAAGCGAAGTTCAGCAGGCAAGAGTGGGTGTCAGCACATTGGCCTTAGGACTGGTGCTTGCAGAACAAGAATCTTCCATCAGCTGCTCCCCACTGAGTGCTGGCAACCGGTATGATCTCCTGTGGGCTGCTACAGAGATTATGTGGGACCCAGCCACAACCACAGCTGGGGAACACCTGCTGCTTTACCCAGCTAGGTATGTAATCCAGGTAGCAGGATCATTCTGCTATGCCTCCCATAGCTTGCCCACTTTCTACTTCTTCCTCCAACCTCTCCCAAAAAAACAAAATGAAAGTACATCATCACTGGCAGAAGCTGAGAAAAAGTCAACAACTGAAAAGTAAATTCTTCGACTTTGCTCAGTTCCCCCAAGCTGGTTTGAAAGTAAAAGACTTCTGATGTGTGACACCGACAATCAACTCCCCTGAAGCCAGAGAGACTTCACGCAAAACTGCAAACCATCTCACAAGCATTCTTAGCCCTGCCATTTGTCTAAGCCAACTGAATCGGTCAGCAGGAGTATGTCACAGATGTAGCAGAAATTGGAAGAAGATGCACAAATCAACACATCGCCTTCCACAAAAATGTTCGAAGAGGTCAACAGTTTGCCACTGCATCAATGGCTGCAGCAAAATGCGAGCCATAGGGGACAATGCTTTAGTATGCTAAAGTGACTTTTTGCCCTTCCAAGTAAACTACAGGGAGTTTCAAAGGACAACGCAACTAGCTCACAGTAGGAAAATTAGAAATTCATGCATTAGTGATATTTAAAGGTTTCATTGCTAACAGTGGAAGTAGAAAGACCTCCATGCTATTTTAGTCTTGCCAATACACAGCAAATCCAGGAGCACTTCAGAATATTACTGGGATGTCAGTGTCACTGTCACAGGCCTGCCCCATACGATCCCTTGCTCTTTAATGATCATCAGCTTATATGATGCAGGAGCCAAGTCCCTGGTTAAAAGGAGGCTCAAGACTCAATATCGTTACAAAAGGTGATTTTGCTCCAAAGCATTTGGAGTGATTGCAGACAAGACTCTGAAGAAGACCTAAACCAGGACTGCTCTTGACACTCTATGCATGATGTCTCTATCATCCCAAGAAACTGAGAATTGCTATGTTACAGACTTGTATTGCCTGGCTTCAACCTGTGCCCTCTCCAGATAACATTTATTCTGCAGTAAATAAGTTGCATGCCAGATCTGAGAAGCCCAAAGAGGAAAACCACCCAGGTTTGGCAGGTAGCAGAATTGAGCAGCATGAACAAAACTGATGTGGGACCATTCAGCCTATGGACAACAGAATTCATCCTGGCATCCTTCACTTACTAGACAGGATAGAGCAATTAGTGTTCCTCAGTCCCACCAAGGATCTATCTGGCAGCTGCTTACGTGCTGTGCATTTAAACCAGTCTTGTAAACCAGTCTTGCAGATTCTGAGTGAGACCTTCCCCTAGGGATGGGGGGAGAAGGAGAAGAAAACATCCGAAATCAGGCAAGGAGAAGACAGGGAGATCCTTCCCCCACAGAGTTTGTCCAATAATAGAGATAATGCATTGCTCAAGACATCCTTCTCAGAGTCCCACATAGCAGTGCAACTAGTATGCCTCAGGGAAGGTCAGCAGAGAGATGCATATGGCAGCATGCAGTCAAGCAGAGTTGTTTAATCCTAGAGCCATTTCCATCTGTAACTGGCTGGCTACTCTACCAGAACCTGACCCAATGCTCTCAGCCCTGCAAATGTACTGCTTAAAGGTAAGAGGCTGGTAAGTCTCTTATGCCTTTTGATTATGCTACCTTAACAGGGTGGAAAAAAAGGAAATAATAAATAACAATAATAGCGCTAATAATGAGGCATTGATTTTTCTTTTCTGGGTGAAATTCCTGAGTGGCTGGCCATTAGGTTTAAATCAATAGTATCTTGATTGCCAGTGCATTTTGATGCATAGCTGAAACAAGGTCAATTGCTGTCTAGGGAAACAGTTGAGGTACTGAGAAACCCTTCATCAACGAAAAGGCAGGATTAAGAGCATTGTCAGCCTGTGAGATACTGGATTATTATATTAATTATTGGAATGGACCAACTCAAGTGTGTGCATGGGAGGAGGGGACAGGTCGCATTTCACAAAGGTGAAACAGTGCCCTGGTCCATACCCCAGCCCTTGGAGCCTCCCTGGCCACCCCCAGAGCAGCTGTCAGTCACTGGGCACACTGGGAACCAGCCTACACCCCATCCTGGAGGCCCAGTTCAGCCCCCATTTCACCTACTGCAGACACCTGAGCATGTTCCTTGGGAGAAATTAATTGCAGATATGCAAGGTGCACAGGTCCAGTGGGCTCAGTCTCCCTTTGGAGTAACAATACCCCTCTAAAACACAAGACAGACCTCTCAGCTTAATACTAACCTTTACATGAGTGAAGCAGGTGAAATGAATCCCTCAGGTACAGATGGAGGTGTGACAGAGAACGGCACGTGGTCACGAGTAATGCTTAGGGGCAAAAGGCAGCAAGTGCTTCCGCAATGGCTCAGGGCCTGTGTCCTGCCTGCAGGCACTCCTTGGACATGGATTCACTCACTATACTTTCATTAAGGGCTTTCTCTCATGTGACCTAGGCCAGGCTCACATGCCTGTGACTCACAGGCAGGTCCTAAAATTAAGATTGCCCCAGTTTCCAGGTTAACTGCAGCCCAGAATCTCCAGATGGCAGTGTGCCTGAGAAGATAACCTCTAACAGACCACCTGAGGAAACTGGAGGATGCCTTCTCTGCAGGGCTTCAACACTCATGAAAAAGGCTTCTCTCATTACCTAGGACTGCAGTGAGGTTTCAAAATTATGCTGACAAGAAAATGAAACTCACCAGAGCCCTCTCAACAAGAGAGCTGTTTGGTCTGCTCCAATATGCAGAGTCAATTTAACTGGTTTTATTCAGGTTTCATCTGTCTGCACAGTTTCAATGTGTCCCAGAAATCAGTCACTGGTACTAAGGCTAACCAAAATAATTCTGCATTTTCAGACTTAAGACTGGAACCAGAAGGGAAAACCAAGTTCCAACAGATAGTAGTACATCAACCTTCAATCTAATGTTTACCTTGGGGATTAGAATTTTTTACCCAGGTCTCTAGTATTAAAAGTGAATTCATTATTGTAAACTTTACTCTTTCCAATTTCTTGCACTTCTTCCCCCCCGTCTCTTTTTTTATTTTAGAAAGAAGCAGCAACCAGTGCCAAGATATTTAATGTGCAATGCTGTGGTTTATTAAGCTATCACTTGCGTTACAGCAGAGCCCAGCTACAGTAGCTGCAATGAGAGC